AAATTACCTTGGTTCCCACAAGATAGTAAAATGTTTAGACTAGTAGAAATCCTCTGCACCCATTCCCATTCTTGTGGCAACCTAGAAAAAATGGCTGCAGCCAGGTTGGTTGTAGAGTTGAACCTGTTATTATTAGAATTCTATACACAATTCTCTGTTTGTCTTTCCTAACGTCTTTTAAATTAATTTTGGGAAGGCAGTCAAAGACTTAGAGGGTGAAGAGATGATGCAGCTACTTCATCGCTTTATGCAGGTGGTCAAGAATTTCCAGGACAGGAAATGTATGTTATGATTCCTTGATTGATTCCTTGGAAGTGGTGAACTTTTAAAAAGCTTGAATATGTTGCTTTTTTACATCCATCTCCTTAAAGGTAGAAAATTGTGCTGCCAACATGTAGAAACATGTTTTCCAAGTGGGGAATGGACTTCTAGGCCTGGAAGTTGCTCATACCTATAAAGAGTCTGTGCACAAATATCACATTGAGGTTGCTAGTTTTGGAGTGTGATCAGAGCAATTTTCGCTCTGGGTTTTCAAATTCATGAGAATGTTGTGAAGGTAAAAGAACATCAAATATATATTTCAAATATTGCCTGGGAACTGGTCTCCATCTTGAAGAAGGCTGCCATAGAAGCTGTGCATTAGAGCTGTTCCAGATGTTTTTCCTGCTATCCATGCTATCTACCATGATCTGGATGGTCATCATGGAGACTCAGATTGCCAATGCTAATTTTAAAGCTGTTCAGCTCTGAATCAAATTGACTTTGACATATTGATTTTTCAGCAAAACAGTGAAATTGACATTGATGTCTTATAAGACAACAACACAGAGAGGTGATTTCTTCATAAATAGGCCCCAATCTTCTAAAAATCAGAGGTTATATGTCCATGGGGTTGTGCGATTAATCAGAGCCAAAGCCCGTGAAATTTTGTGTAATTTCTCTAAAGTGAACGTATTGATAAATCAAGAAAACAAGTCAAGAAAACAAAGTTATTTATCTGTGTTTGGGGAAGGAGTCTTTTTCATCCTGTTTCTTCCAAAATAATACTCTGCATTCACAAATCAAAACAATCATTTTCATATCTGAATGGCTGATATAAGATGTCCACTATGGATTTCTCTGAGACTTGTAAGATGGAATAAAATAGACTTCAAAACAGCAGATACACAGCAGCATTGAACAGAATCTACTACCATTTATCTCTGGTGTGGAAAAAATTACATATGTACATTTGCTGATGAAATATGCATCTGAAAAGAGTAAAAGCAGGATTGAAGAAAAAATAAACTAGTTATGCTTTAAAAGCCTGCATTGCAGAACATTACGTTAAAGAGATTGTTATCAAGAAATCTCTTAAAATGAAGACATCTGGTTTACATTAAAGCTGTATTTATTAGGAGAGAGCCAGTTTGGTATAGTGGTTAGGGCAGTCAGCTAAAAAAAGAGATCTGGAATTCTGGTCCAACTTTAGGCTTAAAGCCAGCTGGGTGACCTTGGGCCAGTCACTCTCTCAATTTTAAGAGAAAGGTCAACGGCAAACCATTTCTGAAATCTTGCCAAGAACATTGCAGGGACTTGTCCAGACAATTGCCAGAAGCCAACACTGACTTGAAGGAAAAGAAAAAGAAAGAAAGAAAGAAAGAAAGAAAGAAAGAAAGAAAGAAAGAAAGAAAGAAAGAAAGAAAGAAAGAAGAGGGAGGGAAGAAAGGAAAGAAAGAAAGAAAGAAAGAAAGAAAGAAAGAAAGAAAGAAAAAGAAAGAAAGAGGGAAGGAAGGAAGAACAGAAAGAAAGAAAGAAAGAAAGAAAGAAAGAAAGAAAGAAAGAAAGAAAGAAAGAAAGAAAGAAAGAAAGAAAGGACAAGCATAGAAATATTTTGCATATTAGGAAAAATTGTGAATGAGACCAAATGCAGATTTGTGTTTTAACATCCATTGGAAAAATAATAAACAAAGATAATGCCTATCGACATCTGTATGGGAGAGACCAGAATTTAAAAAGATACATCTCTTTCAAATGGGGGTACAGTGTCATTGCATGTACAAAATGGACAAAGTTTGCATTGCAACACTTTGTCCATCACTGTACTGATTTTGTCACCCTCTGATTCAGCTGATAATGTCTTACTAGGCAATATAAAATACACATTAGCTTTATCCTGATCCGGATATCTCTAACTGTAAATTATAGTAAATATTATGAATGCTTGCCAGCCATGCCATTCTGTTATGAAACTGAAAGTTATGACTTGAGCAGATTGGTTAGCGTTTTCACCTTTCCTCAAATCACAAATGAATATAGGAAAAATCCTATGGATGAAGCTGCTTAATGCCTGTGATGAAGCATCAAGATTATCAGAATTTAAATCAGTTGAACACCTGTGCCAAGGGAAGATACATGCTATTTATTTCATTGTCATTTAATTTATTCAGTTATTAGCTGGAGCTGAAGGGGGAGGGAAAAGCACTATAGGCTGGCATTAAAACCCTAGAGAGCAAACCTCCAGAAACAATTGTTCAGGAGCTAAATTTAGGAGACTAAAAATCCCAAAGAAAGATGATAAATCTTGCAGCTTAGGCAGAATTTGAGTAGAGATGCTTCAAGTAACTTCAATAAACCTTAGTCAGGTGTCTTTTCCTTCCTTCCTTCCTTCCTTCCTTCCTTCCTTCCTTCCTTCCTTCCTTCCTTCCTTCCTTCCTTCCTTTCTCTCTTTCTTTCTTTCTTTCTTTCTTTCTTTCTTTCTTTCTTTCTTTCTTTCTTTCTTTCTCCCTCCCCTCCCCTCCACCTTCCTTCCTCCCTCCCTCTTTCTTTCTCTTTCTTTCTTTCTTTCTTTCTTTCTTTCTTTCTTTCTTTCTTTCTTTCTTTCTTTCTTTCTTTCTTTCTTTCTTTCTTTCTTTCTTTCTTTCTTTCTTTCAGAGAGCCCAAGAGCTAAAACGAATCTACAGATAGTCCTTGCTTCCTAATTGGTAATTGGGACCAGGAAGTCTGTCACTAAGTGATATAGTTGTAAGGTATGATGTCACATGACTTCACCAACGTACAACAGCAGTTCAACAGTCCCATTTGCTGTGATAGGTAACTCCCATATGGATGCAGCACACAACAGTCACATGATTGCCGTTTATGAAGTTCTGCTCGTTTTCCCATTCACTTTGCTTGTTGGAAGTTGGCAATGAAGGTTGTAATTGATGATCATGTGACAGTGGGACACTGCAATGTTGTAATTGCAAGCTGGTTGCCAAGCATCCAAATTGCAATCATAAGACCAAGGGACACTGTGATGGCCACAACTACGAGGACTTATTATAAGTACCCCTTGTTCAGGGCCATTGTAACATTGAATGTTAAAGTTCTGGCAAGAATGGCTTCAGAATTTGAAAGTTGCCAAGATTGAGAATCATTTATCTAGATTCACATATCGCATCAAGCTTGTGAACCCAGCCAATGGGGTTTTTAAATCATATTCTTTGATTAGTCAACAAACCATGGTTTCTTCTATTATGCAAATCCATTTTAGTAGTGATTTTCTGTTCTGAAAGAAAGCATCTCCCCAGCATCTCAGACAGAGCTCTTCCTTCTTAGAAGTATGTTACCTTTGGACTGAAAACATTCAGCATTGGATTTGGGATTTTTGACATACTATATAAACACTACTTTCTCACATCATGCTATTGATATTGGGGCCATGTTCACATGATTCAGTTGGCTATAAATCTCAGCAAGAGAATATGTGCATGCTGCCACTTTTACAAACAGAAATCCAGGGCTTTTTTTCTCATAGAACGCCCAGAACAGAGTTCTGGAACCTTTTTGGGATGGAACCTTACAGGGTAGGCAAGGAGGGTTGTATGATGTGTGTGAGTTCCGGCACCTTTTTTTCTTAGAAAAAAAGCACTGCAGAAATCTAACACACCAAGTTTGCTGTTTCATTGAGTGTGTTGAAACTCTAATGACCACTTTCTTGGATTCCTTTTTCTTGGGTTTTTGTTGCAACTCATCAAACCTCAGGGATTGCTACTATGCATTTAGTAAACAAAGCATTTAAAATAAATTTGCTCAGAGTATTATATAAGTTGCTTGGTTACTGTTATTTTTCTCAAAAAAGGCACATTTATCTTTACATTGGATTCACTGTGTGTGGACAGTGAAAATTAGGAATATTGCTAAGAATAGTGACATTTTCTGTTCACATGTAGAAAAGAAGCTTTGTCATTGTAGCTCTTTCTTCTAGATAGCAAAAAATCGTGAACAGCATATTTAATTTTCATAAGCTGCTTTGAAAATATAAAGGGCAGTGTATTTGTTTCTGATTAAAATGATTAATCGGAATAGCCTGAAGCATGAAAAGAAAGCAATGGAGCTTCTTTTCTAAACAATGCAAACAATTCCATCATTCATGCCTTGATTCACTGTGGATAAGGCTGAATGCAACAAAATGTTGGTAGACTCAAATATATGGATACAGGATAGTCAATCTGAATTGATTAGCAACTACACAGCAGAAGGACCCTATGGAAGCAAATGAAACACACATATTACACACACACACACACACACACACACACACACAAAATGCATGCATGCACACCCATACGACCTTTTTTCCAGTGCAAGGAGATGTTTTCTGTAAGTGGCTCAAGGATAACAACACTGGGGAGATCCAATTGCAGTTATAGGGATAGGACTGACTTTGTCATTTTTCTGGGCATGCACAATCAAGACATCTATAACTAATTTACAGTGGCATCAAAATGACAGTCTAGACATTCATGATGTCACAGCACATATCCAATCATGTACTTTAAACAGAAAATCTGGCACAAAACATAAGTTGCGTCTTTTGCGTCATGATATCATGATGCACATGTAGTAATTTGCTTCCCCTTTGCCATTCTATGGATGATGATGAACCCCTGCTTTCTACTAAACAGGTAGATCTCATCATGTTTCCATCACAAACCTACTTGTCTGTCTCCAACAACTGAATTTCCAAGAGCGCTCACCTTCTGTGATGTATCCTTGGCATGGGAAGACAGCCAAGTTCACACTCTGTAGAGCATGCATCTGTAACAAGCTGCAATGACATCAAAATGATGACACAGACATCATGGTATCATTGCCCATATAATGCAAATGTGTCCTGGTGTCCTAACATTTGAAGCCACCACATAAAAGTAAATCATGACATAGCCATCATTTGTTTCTTCTTGTTCCTCTGTAGCATTCTGTGCTTTAATCATATTGTGCTTTATTTAGTTTGGGTTTATTGTGTTGTAAAACCAAGGTAACTGTAACTGTTAATATGTAAACCATGGCTTAATAAGTCATACTAGCTGTGGCTTATTCAGTAAAATCATAAAATTAGCTATAACTTAGCACAATCTCTAAACTCAAAACATTTCCACCAAAGTCTGTTGAGCTAATCCAAAATCAGTACTAGATTGGCGTGACTGGTGTATAATCATATCTCATTGACTTTATTTGCAACTGAGCTGATTTATTTCTGGATAAGCTGCAATGCGTCTCAAATGGAACTTTAAGCCATTCTCCTTTTGAAATGCTGAAGGTTGAACAGGATGTGGGAGGGCCAGCTTTCAATTGACAGAAGCTCTCCTATCACTTTGCCTCTGGGCTTTTAGTCCTCCACCCAAGTAGAGCCATCAGAGCATCACAGATGACTTGAAAAAGAGAAGAAAGTGCCTGTACAGCTTTGCAGCTCTTCTTCTATAATAACCTTTCCAACTTGGGGGGGGGAGGGAATAAAGCCCACAGTATGATCTAAAAACTTGACAAGGGTGAAGGACTCTGAATGCTGTTTCTTCTCTCTCCCATTGGTCAGCTGGAGGGAACACTGATTGAGGCTCCTTCAGGATTCAAGAGACTGAATTGTCCAAGAAGCAATGAAGAGGATCATGACTGCTTCTGAGGAACTGGGAAGCTGAAATGGGGACAACGCAGAACTACACCCAGCCAGTACCTAAGATTTTAAGATCTATTGTAATTCTGCACAGTTCATCCTGTACTCTGAGGTCAGCAATAGGACTCCTGTGGCTGATTTTGCTATAAATGTTCTTGACATCAACTGTTCCTTTCACTTTTTCTATGATCATTTTATGAAAAAAAAACATGTCGCTGGAATTAATTTCTTAGTTTAGGAGGGCTCTCATTAGGCCTCTTAATGTTTTCATGTTATTGTTTCAATTTTTAGTATTTTATATTCTCTGGTTTTTAATGCAGATTTTTATTCTTACTTTAATAAAACACCCAGCACCATGAAAAGAATAGGGGGCATATACATTTTCTAAATCCAATCAATAGGAATTAAACAGGGGCCCCTTTTCCATCTTTCCAGGAACAACTGCTTCCAAAAAAGGCTGTTTTCCACAATCACTCAGAAAGTGGAAGTAGGATGTGGCTGGCATATTCTTTGCCCATTTCAGCAGTAAGCTTCAAAAGAATTTGATTTGTACTTAGCTTCTGACTTGCAAGCAAATATAGTGCACACTGGATAATATGCCATAGTAACAACTTTATGGCCCTGGGACTTTTCTCTTTTGCAGCTAAATTTTATTTCTTTTTGTGAGGCTACATCAGCCCATCTATGGTATGGAAAAGAGAAAAGTCACCTGTTATCCTACTTTCCACCTCTACTCTGCTGCATTTATCAAGATTTGCAATATTCAAACGGGGTTCTCTGGAACTCCAAGGTTGTGGGAAAATCATTCAGAGGTTCAACCTGACAATTTTTGTGTTTGTTATACAATATGAAATATATTACTGGCACATTAATTGTAACATTTTGTTCAAACAAAATGTATTAAATCAGGTTTTTTTTTCAAACATCTGAAAGTTGCCAAGGTTGACAAATACTGATCTAAGTGGAACCTGGCTTGATAAGAAGCAATGATACAGTTCATCTTGGCTAAAAGATCAAGTAGCATTTTCCTAGGTTTTGAAATCCATCTTGTGTTTAAAGCAAGCATTGTGTTAGTTTGCTCATATAGTCTTTCAGGATCTAACGTCTAATTTTTACAGGAAGAATGTTTCTTGCTATGAGGCTAACTGAAGAGCTACCATTATGGATTTAAGCTGATTAATGAATTCGTAGGAAGCTAGTTTCTCATGGTTATGCAGTTCAATAATAAATCAGGATTTCTGGGAATACAGTACTTACATTTCTTTCTTCCCTGAAGCTCAGAGAAGAGTCTAAACAGCCATGTTATTACTGGGAGGCTGGAGGTGGACGAATAAAATCTGCTGCAGAATTCCCACAACCTTGCAGCAGAGATTGCTCTGCCTGCTTCCTGTGCCTTTTCTGATTCAGCGCTTTTCCCTCCTATAGCTCTAAACTTGGCAGCAATGAGGTGTGATTAGAATAACAGGGCTGCTTTTGGAACAGCATTTTAGAGCATGATTTTCCCTTCATAAAAGCTGCTGCAGAATGAGATTGATGGACAACATAGTCTTTGACATCCTACATTGCTTTCAGCTTTCAAAAGTAGGCTACAAATGGCAAAAATGTTCTCAAAAACTCTTGAATATTATCAGCTCTTCCTGACAGAGCAAATGTTATTGGTGGTACTTATTGTGCTTTTATTAAATTTTACAACATGATAGCCTAGCTGTATGCTGAAGCTATGCTAGGAAGGCAATCCATCTCAGCTTTCGAGCCTTGCCATATGGAGAGCAGAATGTTGTCTCTATGTGTTCTTCCTTCTTTCTCTATTAATACTGTTTGCATAGCAGGATAACCACAAGGCCACCTTCTGTTTTACTCTAAGCAACAAATGTGGCATGCTAAAATGAAAATCAACATTTCATCTTTGTCGGTGAAGAGAAATAACACTGCTCAACCAACTCTTATACAGTTGCCTTAAAATTATTGTTCAAGGTTGGAAGTTGGCAATGAATGCCATATTGATGTTATGGCACAGGATGTGCTTATACTGAAAATTCTGATGCTGCTGCTATTTAGCTTGCTTGCTGCTTGTTCTGGTATGCCACCTTCCACTCAGGTTCAGTACATGTATGAATACTAGGAGTGGTGTGCTTCTGAAATGTTTCATGCTCCAGGGACTGAACCTGAAACTTTTTGCATGCAAAGCTTATGCTCTGCTCCTGAGCAATGTGTTCTTCTTTTCACTATAGCATTAAATATTATCCAAAATTAAACCATCAACACACTGAAGGGCCAGTAATAGAGTATATCATTATAAAGTTACTAGTTTTATTTTTCCAATTTGTATGTTTTTCTAGTTTTGTCTTTTAATTTTTTATTATTTTTCACCATACACCCAAACAAACTTAAAATACATAAACATAAATCTTTTCTTTTAACAGAACAGTACTATACATTTTAAGCATTCTTTACATCTTATTTACATTTTATGTACATCAATAATTATGTCTTTTCCTTTCTCTGTTCTAGCCAATTATAACATTTATTCCAAATTTCATAAAATTCTGTCACCTCGTCTTTTAATTCTAATATAAGTTTATTCATTTCTGTGCATTCCAAGATTTTGTACATAATCATATCATTTGTGGGAATATTTTCACTCTTCCAACATTGAACATATGCTCTACGAGCTGCAGTCAATATGTGTATAATGATATGTTGGAGTTGTTTTTTGAAGTGTTCACTAATCTACTGTTGGGGGAGGGCACCGTTTTGGAAGGAAATGGGGGGGGGTGTATGTGTGTGTAAAAAAATTCCCTTCTCACCCCTATGGATGTGTCTTCCTCAATCTTGTATCCTCTACCAGAGGCCTGGGAGTTCGAGGATTCTGCACAGTATCTTAGCTTTTTCCTAGCACTGCACTCCTCTGGACAAAGAGCTCTGACAATGTTCCTGGGATCTTTTGGAGCCACTCTCCCAATTTATGAGTCACAGCCCCAAAGGTCCCACCATTGGGACCTTTACTTTCCACATCCTCTCTAATTCCTCTGTCAGGTCCTGGTACTTCTCCTGCTTCTCATAGTCCTCCCTGACATTGCTTCACTTGGTATTGCAACTTCCATCACCACCACTGACTTCTGGTTCTTGTCTATTATCACAATGTCTATTTGATTGGCCAGTACTTGCCTGTCTGTCTGGATCTGGAAGTCCCATAGGATTTTCTTGTTCTCCACAATCCAGGGCTTTTTTTGTCATAGAATGCCCAGAACGGAGTTCTGGCACCTTTTTTGGATGGAACCTTGTAGGGTAGGCAAGGTGGGTTGTATGACATGGGTGAGTTCCAGCATCTTTTTTTTTTTTTTAAACAAAAAAAGCACTGCGGCAATCTTCTGTGAAATCTATTATCTGGGCCTGCAGAGTCTAGCCCATGCACTATGCAGATGTTTTTGTATGCAATGCCAGCTCCTTAGTTGTGCCATTCAGAGTATACTGTTCCTGCTTACATCTTATACCCTGCCACTATAATATAAAGCTCCAAGTAAAACATTTGTAGACTGTCTAACACAGCTCCTCTGAAATAGTTTTAAATACCAAATCTCAGGCCATTTAATTTGAAAGCATCTCTCTGCTATCCTGACAATTTGTAGGCTTTGTTGCTGTTACATCTTGAAGGGAGCATCCATGATCACTGATGCGCTGGCAGTTGGGGAAATACTGGAAATTTGTTGCAAATGTCCTGGCCCATTGGAATTCATAAACATAAGCTGAATGTTAAGTTAGAAAAAAATGAATGCATTTGTTCTGTTCAAATCCCAGGATTAAGAATGAATTCATCAGCATTCATCTGAAACATAGTTAGATAATGACAGCCTCAATATCTGGGGAAGAATTATAATGATTCTGATTCAGGAAGATTCCAGAAGATTAGTTGGCCTACACAACATGGCTGAAATTTGGTCTGAAGAGCTGTAAGGATTTCACCTTTTCCACAGCTTGAGGAAGCTGGTTTACACTAGCATCGTGGGATAGATGGTGGCAAGGAAGTGGACGAGGAAAACAGTTTAGTTGTAAAGAGATAATATTGCCCAGATGTGAGAGCTATGTGACATCCATTTTAGAAATGCTGCCCCACTTAACTCACCATGTAATAAGGAATTTACTTTGACAGGATTACAGATTATGTGTTTACCTCAGACTAACATTAAATATGTCTTTCTGAAAGTATAGTACTTACTTCTTTGATTTATCAGCTACATGGGGCATGACAAAGGTTGAATTCGGAGAGCTTTCTTAATCAGTCTCCCCCCCCCAAAAGACATCACTTCGATATGTGTTAAACTACATCTTCTTTCTTCCCAACCTGCATAAAAATGCAGCACTAAGCAGTTACCACTGTATTTAATTCAGATTTCATTGAAGGTAATTTCACCACTGCTTTCTTCTAGCTAATAGGGATCTATCCTTGCCCGAAGAAAAGCAGTAATAAGGGCTGCACAGTCCTCTGGATTAAATCTCAAGGAGGTTTTTGGCACGATTTAGCAACCGTATCATTTCCCCCCAGGTACATGTGAAATCTACCATGTGATTGTGTTACCACTGAGACACCTTTATGAGACCAAACTACTAAGACCCGTACAGCCTTAGAAGTAATAATCACTGCAGTTCATATACATGATCTATTTTGGCTTATTTCTCAGGTCAGAGATCAAGTTGCAAACCTTAATTCTCTAAGCAGTTGATTCAGGGGTATCTATAATGACATACTTAAATGGCATTCTAGTCACATCCATTAAAAGAATAGTGTCCTTGCTCACACTGGCACTAGTAATTTTATTTGCGAAGTATCCAGAAGAATTCACTTGGTTCTGCATTTTGGTCTCTCCTATCCACCCCACTGTTTTCATTAAAAGATTGGATTTTGTGTTTACTGAGTTTCTCTTTATTCGGGGCCCACCCTTTCCTTATCCTGCCATGCTTAAATTTTCCTGCAGCCCTTCTATATCCCTTCCTCTTTCACAAAAGAGGGAAATTTATTCTCATCATAAGTCTTTTGACATTTGCTCTTGTCTTTCATTGCTGCCATACTTCTAGGATGGGGTCAGGCGCGTTTTGGAAGGGACTAAATTAAGTGTCTGGGTCATTGTGTCATTGCAAGGGAACATCAGAACCTGCTAATCAAATTGGACATTTAAAACTGTAACATCCAGGAAAAGCATGCTAGAAAGCATATCTAACAAGCAAACAGCCTGTGTGTATGTAAATTTTCATACAGATCATTTAAAAGTCAGTGAGTACTGATGAAACAGAACTATAAAATTCTGAATGAACAAACACAAATGTAACATGAATAATTCATATACTAAGTTATATGTATATCCTTTCTTGATCAGTGATTGAATTAAATTAACCAGGTATGATGGATAACACCTTTACTGATAGGCAATCAATCTCCTGTCTATTTCAGTATCTAACTAATTAATAAAACAATAACTACAATAATAATTTCTGGTGCTTTATTTATACATGATCTCAAGGAATTTCTAGAGTATAAAATTAAAAAATATAGACAGAAATAAAGAATATTCATTACCATTCATACTGGAAAAGCATTTGGTTTTATATCCTGCAACAAAGTCAACTTCAGTGTTAATTGCAAAGATTCAATGATCATTCTGAATTTTAGTAAGGATTTGTTAATTTTCATAGATGAAAAAAATTGTTCACATATGTATACCTCCAAATATTCCTAGTATCAGGAATTGGAGTTAGTGAGTAATTTGGGAAATTGTTCCTGTGAAAATTGTAGAAATCTAGAATTCCACCATCCTTGTATATAACCCAAAATACCTAAGATAGGATAATAGGAGCCATGGATGGACTGTCCCCATAGTTATCTGGTTGTACAAAATATTATATGGAATGTCAGAGGAGTATATGGATTGAAGTTGGACTTGTTTTTGGATCTGTTTGGGCTGTTCCTGGAGAAGCAGGCCAGAGGATGTGCCATGCCTGTGGACCCAGTAGCGATTGTGGAAGTAGTCTGTCTGTTCTTTGTGACTGGCATCTGACTTTTTCTTTGGTGGAGTTTGTTGGCAGCTGTGTTGGAGAGTAAGTTGACAGCCAGGCTAGTATTTTTCTGGTCATCAGCAGTGGAGGACTGGGCATTTCTTGCAGCTAGTTGACAATACTGAGGGGTTCCAATTGCATGTTGATGATGGAGATCCTCTGCCCACTGCAACTTTGTATGGTCCTGGAAGCTGAGAGCTGCCCCCTGGCAGATTTTCATCTGGGAGTTCAGCCAGGATATTGGGATTTGGAATGTGATGATGGTGAATGGGGGAGGGGAAATAACAGTATATTGGCAGGCTATTGTGGACCCTCCATCCATGCAGAAGCCATT